ATAGGTTGTCAAACTCAACTATGTACCCCGAGGCATGTTTGGACTCTTTTGTTTAAAAGCCTCAGTATTTGAAACACATGCAGAATCAAGGTTTTCCAATTCAGCTAGAAAATGCTCAAAAGAACTTTGGCTCTCTAATCTCAGATGAAAGGCTGAATCAACATTCTGAATTTTTCACTCGAATTTCAAAGCACCTGGCAAAATCAAAACCTCACCACTCTTACAACTCTTTTTTCTTTCCATTGCACCCAATGTTCTGAACTTATTTTTCACAATTAATATTTAAATATCTTTGGAAGTTTACTTGGAAAAATACTTGGAATTACCGAGGTTTTCAAAAATTATTATTACAATACAGGTTTAAAAAAAATAAAAAACTACCAAAAGAAAACTTGTTCTGTAGACTGAAAAGAGAGGAAAAAAAAGAATCTTTGGAAAGAAAATCTAATTGCATTTAGAATACCTACATAAAGAAGACATTTCAGTGGATTGTGACTACACACAGAAGGCCACTGTTCTATGTCTCATGCTCCATTAATAACTGAACTGAACACTATTTCATAGTTGATAAATAATCTGCAAAGGGAAGGAGCCCTTTTGCTTACCTACTGTGTGGTGGGAAAAAAAGCACATTTGAAGTACTTTAAAAAGTGTCATTTATGCTTAAGACATACCTGTGGTTTCTCTATTCCCGAAAGAATGTCTTGCACCCTCTTTACTTCCAACTCATATTCTGCGTTGCAAAAAAAGAAAAAAGAAAAAAACAATATTATTAGAAGGCAGTAAGGCTGTCAAGTTCCTTCCCCAAGGCCTTTCAACTAGAGCTATCTATCATTAAATCAGTTGCCTGTTATCATGAATTTTTGGTATTACAAATGCTACTGGGAAAATCAGGAATGAGGATGTCTTTGGGGAATGGAGTTTCACTGTGGTTTGCCGACTTGCTCCTGTATAGTTTTAAGTGTTCACAACATTAACGAGATTATCACAGGGTTCCATTTTACATTTAATAATTTAACAGGCAACTAATGAAGAATAAAGGGTCCTAAAGTGGAGGGAACAACGTAGCTGGAAACAGAGTAATGAGGTGAGGTTGAAGAGACAATGGTTAGTCCGTTCAGGGCTGTGAGCTCACATTTTTAAGTTGTATTTTTATTTGTTTATTTACTTCTTTACTTAAGTTCAAACGTTTCAGTTTGATGGGCAGCCACTGGAATGTTTAAGAGAAGGGACTGATAGGGTCTTCTTTTGAGCTTGAAGAGATCTGCTTGTCTTCTGTGTGAACAATGGATATAAGGAAGGTAAAAAAGGAGCAGAAAGATCAATGGCCATGGCAAAGGATAAAACAGAGCTGGCCTGGGCCTGAGCTGAGAGTAGAGATGGTGAGACAGGACTGGTTTTGGAGGTATGGGTGCTGAAGGACTAAATGTGATGGGTAAGGGTGAGGAACCGCGGCAGAAGGATAATTCCTGGGTTTTGGCTTGCTCAATTGGATGGATGATGGTGCCTTTTAAGAAGATGAGGGACATGGGTATGTTTTTGGGGTGGGGCAATAATTAGGTTTTAGAAACGAAAGGAGAATGGTGCCTGGAGAAGAGAGTATGAGGTGAGAAGGATGGGCAGAAAAAAAGGTAAGTGATAGAACCCAAGAATCTGCAATTTGCTTGATTTTCACAGTGGGCTTGATGGACTCTAATTTTGAGTTTAGGGTAGATTCCATTTAACATAGTTTATGAGCTAAATGCTAGTGAGATATGATTACCAAGAAGTATGTCCCTGCCCCCAAGATATTTCCAGTCTCCTGGAGGGGAGGTAGGGAGAATGAAACCAAACAGGTAATCTCAGTGCTTTGTGATGGATGTTACAATAAAGGTAACCCAAAAGAGGGCGTTCGAGAAGGTTTTCCAGGAACCAGCATTTAGCTGAGCCCTGGGTGCAATTAGCAGGCGCTTAGAGGGGAAGGGGGATGTGGACCTAGGGAGTGAGGGATGGGTTAATACGCCCAGCTCTGCACAGACCTGTTTGTCCTCATTGTTCAGGTCGAAAAGTCACCTTTCCAAAAAATCCCTCCTTAACTGACCTTAATGACAGCCTCATTTCTTCCACTCTTATAGCCTATTTTCTCATCAATTATCAAAATCTGAAAAGAATTACCTGGCTTATTTATTCTCTTGCTTATTTCTGGTCTTCCCTACTAACACACACAAGATTGAGGAAGACAGAGACACCACAGGGTCTGGAGTGGGCAAATTTTTTTCCTAAAGGATCAAATAGTTTGAACTTTGTGTGCCACATACAGGTCTCTCGCATATTCCTGGTTTTTGTTGTTGTTGTTTTCATAAAGCATTAAAACTTTAACAACGTCTTAGTTTGTGGGCCATACAAAAGCCGGCTACAGGGAGGCTACAGTTCAAGGACCTCTGCTGAGGACACCATCACCATTTACCGCAGCACCCAGCACAGGCCCTACTTCCGCAGAGCTCAGCAGTCGCTTCGCTACTCGACTAAGTAAACGAACGACGTCTATTTAAAATAACAAAAACGTCTAGCTGGCACGACTCCAATCTTTAGAAGAATTTGCTCCTTATTTTTTTCCTGTTGCGGTCTGTTTAGTAGGACACGCAACCTTTATTGCAGTGAGGAAAGCAATGGGCTTGGTAGCAGCATCATGATTTTGAAAACTGCAGCCTTTTAAAAGAAAATCCACATTCAAAAAACCAAATGTCACAAGCTCATTTATAACTATGCATCATGTTAAGATATAAATTGTGCCCATAAATCAAAAGTGGACATGCCCTCACATTTTCCGGAAGCCCCTGCGAAGTCAACCGTAAATATTATATAATCTCAAAAGTTAACTGTTGGTTAAAAAAAAAATTAAAACAAAAGCATAGTCACAATAAATGAACTGGTTCAGTTGTTAAAGATAAAATTTTCTCAATTTCTGGTTATTCTAGAATTGGAAGGAACCCATGGTTTCGAACACTCACATAGCTATGTTCAGACAACCAGCTGAAGGAGGTAACTGTTTCCTTCTGCTGTGAAGAATGCCATTTACATTGTCTTAGAAAGGCAACAAGACAGACATAGACACTATGTTTGGAGTAATAAAAGTTTAGACTAGAACAGGAACGATCACCTACTCAACACAGAAAGAAGCGAAGAATTACAGAGATCTGTAAGTAAAACACTCTCAGGACTATGCACTAGAAATATACTATAAAGAACAGGGAGTTAAAACAGGATGCTTTGTCCCACAAAACTGGAAAGCCCCCTCGCACCTTGCTTTCAAATAAAGATGACAGAAGATATGGTTATGCTTTTAACAGAAAAAAAGAAAAAAACAGGGAAAGAGGCTAGATTAAAAGGAAAAAAAAAAAATCTGTCCAAAATCAAAAAGAATGTGTTTCAGGTAAGAGCCAGAAATACAAGTGAAAGGTCCTCCTGAGATAAAAACAACTTCCAAAGAGAGGTCAGGACTTTCCTTGTCTGTTTGCCTTTGATTACAGTAATAAAAACTGGCATCTCCCGAGCGCCTACATACATGCGGGTCTATGCATCATCACCTTGCTAATTTTTACGATATCCCCTGCAAGATGGACACACGCTGCTCCTCTTCACAGTGGTGGGTAGGAATTTATGTCTACTTAGCTCATCACGGTTCTCATCTCTGGTGCTCAGCACACTACCTGTAGGTGTCATTGTTGGCCGAGGAATGACGATAAGGAACAAATGAGGAAACTGAGGCTCAGAGAGTAGATGTGATTTCTCCAGGGCCAAAACTCTAATATATGGTCCCAAAGCAAGTAGAACCTTTGAGTGTTATCATGATGAATTACAGAGATCTGGGGATCACGAGGGAGAGGACACTGAGGAAGAAAACACGGGGTTGACACTGGCAGGGTGTTGGCCTCGAGGTGGATGGGAAAAGAGAAGGCAGCAAAAGAGACCCACTCTGACCTATCGCAAGGTTTATGTTGGTTTTCTTGTTTGCTTTTAATTTAGAAAAGGTTGTCAAATGAACAGGGCACAGGCCACATATCTGCAGGGGACATACAGGAGAAAAGGAAGAATTTAAAAAGTGGGCCTTGAATGGAGCCAGATAAAGGATTCTGAGAAGATCAAAAATAAAAATGGCAGGGCATGGGGAGGGATGGTGGTGACAAAGCAGTCACCGCCCTGTCGTGTCTGGTCACGATCCGTCATCTCGGGGGAAACGTGGTACCAAAGCCAGATGGAATTCCGTCTTCTTTCAAGCTCCTAATTGTAAATATGGAAAAAAAGAGAGAAAACTGCACTTACAGCACATTTGTCTAATGCTTTTCCATTTGTGCTGCCACAGACCAAGAAGGAAAAGGTAAATAAAACCCGGGCACACCATTTGCAGCAAACAAGAGTAAAAATAAAATCTGTTTTAAAGTGACAGTTACTTACCACATGAAAAATAAACTCTTGTATGAAAGCTAACAGTCTGGCATGAAAATGTCAAAATTCACAACTCTACGACCTAAATCACTGAGTTAACTACGCCCTTGGCCTCTCCCTCACTAAGCATGATTTAAGTAGTAGACTGAATTACCATTCTTTCCATAAGACAGCTTCAGAGCCCAGCTGTACAAAGAGTATATGTCAGAGTTTAGATGAAGCTATTGCTTGGTGGCTTGCTTCTTTTTTTCTCCTGCTGTCTCTTTCAGATACACACCTCCCAAATGATGAAGGAAAGAAGTGTAACTAATCCCCTCACAAAAATAAACAAACAAAAAAGAATTCTGCTGATCTGCCTTTAGGACATCTTCTTTTCCTTTTGTTTCTTCCCCTCTTAAGAATCTGGTGCCGGCGCGGTGGCCCAAGCCTGTAATCCCAGCTACTCAGGAGGCCGAGGCGGGTGGATCACGAGGTCAAGAGATCGAGACCATCCTGGTCAACATGGTGAAACCCCGTCTCTACTAAATATACAAAAAATTGGCTGGGCATGGTGGCGCGTGCCTGTAGTCCCAGCTACTCAGGAGGCTGAGGCAGGAGAATTGCCTGAACCCAGGAGGTGGAGGTTGCGGTGAGCCGAGATCATGCCATTACACTCCAGCCTGGGTAACAAGAGTGAAACTCTGTCTCAAAAAAAAAAAGAAAAATCTGGTACTTGGTATGTATCAGCAAGAGACTGCCCTAGAAGTACAGAAATGCAAGGTTCTGGTGCAAGGTCAGAGGACAAGTTTCTTCTTCATTCTCTGAGGTTATTTTCACCTTCTGGTTTGCAGTAAGTAAATGACCTCAGACACAAATCATGTCAGCAAACTTTATATTTGTGATTCCTCACACTGAGGCAGCCACAAGGTAAGTAAACAGATGGAAACTATTTTCCACCTGATTCGACCTTGCTGGTGACCATGGCTGGGGTGGCTGAACACAAAAACCGTTTTCTGCGTTGCTGCCTTCTTAGTAGTTGAACAGCTTTTCCCTGCAGTGGACACGAGCTCATCAGTTAAAAAAATAGGCCAGGCGCGGTGGCTCACGCCTGTAATCCCAGCACTTCGGTACGGTGAGGCAGGCGGATCACGAGGAGTTCGACACCAGCGTGGTGAATATGGTGAAACCCGTCTCTACTAAAAAATACAAAAATTAGCCGAGTGTGATGGTGCGCGCCTATAGTCCCAGCTACTCCGGAGGCTGAGGCAGGAAAATCGCTGGAACCCAGGAGGCGGAGGTTGCAGTGAGCTGAGATCGCACCACTGCACTCCAGACTGAGTGACAAAGCGAGACTCTGTCTCAAAACAAACAAATAAATAAAATTTAATAGAACACTCCTGTCTAGTGTTTCACAAAGAGAAAGGGCATTTTGTTTGCAGATATAGGCCCATTTCATGGTAGGAAAGTTTTTGAAATGGAGTTAAGATGGGAGCCTCTAATTCAAACATGTCCACAATCCGCTGAGAACCAGCCTATCTGGAAATGCTAAAAAAGAAAAGCGGGGGCTCAGCTTAGAGATGCAAGTCTTTTCTTTTCTCTAAAAGCAAATCTCCTACACCATGGAAATACAGCATTTTTAGTAAAGGGAAGGTTAAAATAAAAATACACAAGCAGAGCAAATAGAGTTTTTCTTAAAAAAAAAAAAAAAAAAAAAGAAAGAAGGAAAGGAAAAAAAACCCACACACATAGAGGGAAGATGTGTCATGTGAAATTTAAACTTTCCATAAATAATGGTTTTCATGTTTGCTGCAAAAAGAAACCGAAGTTCAGACTGTTTGAATAACTGGTAAGACCTAAATTAATTAAAATATCCTCCTTTATAAACATAATTTGCTTCTTAGGTTTATTTCACATTTTTTCCTTCTTAGAAAAGAAACACAGCTACACGCTTAGCTACTAGCTATAGAATGTATTTATGGTTGTAACAGCTCTATCATTCCAATGGGATGACATCGACATTATTTCTCTCTAAACCGTCTGTCTAGTTCTCATCCACGAGGCTCATTTGTAGACATGCCTGTCATAACATCATATGCTTTCTCAGATCTGCCAAGGAGCTGACATAGCTACTCTCTTTAACAAATCATGAATAATGAACTAGGGGCGTGGAAAATGTGTGGCTTCTGATCACGCTCATTTTTGGGATAAGAAGCCTAAAGTCAACAGTAAACAATCAATATAAAAACAGAAAAGAAACAGAAATAAATAATTTTAGGTGAAAAAGAAAAATATGACTACCCAATAATAAGGACAAGCTAGATACCCAGTCAATGCCTCCTAAAGCCGATAAGCATGAATGGGTACAAAAGAAAACAATATTAAGAATGTGTGTTCATGGCTAGACATGGTAGCTCTTGCCTATAATCCCAGCACTCTGGGAAGTCAAGGCGGGCAGACGGCTTGAGCCCAGGAGTTCGAGACCAGCCTAGGCAATATAGTAAGACCCCACCTCTACAAAAAATACAAAAATTAGCTGGGCATGGTGGTGCATGCCTGTAGTCCCAGCTAGTGAGGAGGCTGAGGAGGGAGGATCGCTACAACCCAAGGAGTTGAAGCCTGCAGTGAGCTTTGATGGCGCCATGGCACTCCAGGTTGGGCGACAGAGTGAGACCCTGTTTCAAAACAAAGAAAAACAACAATAAAAACAAATATGTGTTGAATTGCTTTTCTACTCAGAAAACAAAATTGGCGATCTTCATTTTTGAAATATGACTTATGCTGGAAAAAAAGAGGAATCAGGAAGTGCATACAAAAGATTAATTATCTAAGACTATTTAGTGACTATGATCCACAGTTTGTGGTTTTAAATACAAATTTTAAAGATGTCTAAAGTCACAAGACAAAGAATAAACTTGCATGATATAAGGACAATGCATCTAATCTCAAAAAACAAATATTTCAGAAGTATCTTGAGACAACAATCATCATGATGCTAAAAATACAAAGATAAACATCTTGCTAGCCATTTCGCAGGTGAAGTGGTTACTGTTTGAAATCCTGAAAGATAGCCAAAGGAATACCAGGCTCTCAACACTGAAAAAGAAAGCAGCAGGCAGGTAAACATATGTTGTATGAAGTTGCTTTCCATTCCAGGAAAATATTTTCAAAAGCGGCCTAGGTTCCAAAAAGGTTCTGGAACCTTAAGAGAAAAGACAGAAACACAAGTGAATTTCTTTTCCAAGCAGCGTGCCCAGCTGGAAAGGAGAGATGGCTTGAGAATGTAAATGGGACAACAGGGGCTAATTTCCTCTGAGCTTTTGTTGCTATTTCTGGAATTCATTGGACAGGATCATTTCTCTTCCCCCCGGGCCCAAGATTTGAGTCCAGTCCTACAGGAAACATTGACATTAACGCACTTACAGGTCCATGGGCTCCTCTGGGCACATGCTGTGTAACACCTCGGGCAATAAGAGGGGCAACACTGAGTGCCAGGTCTAGGTCTTCAACGAAAAGAGCGAGAGGGGAAAGTACCAGATATCCTCTCTGATGCCTACATCAACTCAATGTTTGCTTCTCAACCATGTTTTTGGATGTCAAGTAAATTGGGTTCTACCTGAAATGCTAGTAAGATGTTATGCTCATTTTTGTCAGATTCCCTAAGAACAATCTTTGTGTTCATTTCACAATGTAAAAATCGTATGTATGTATGGAACTGGACAAAAGCTACTCGTGGTTTTTTGTCTGTTTTTGAGACTGAGTCTCACTCTGTTGACCAGGCTGGAGTGCAGTGGCACGATCTCTGCTGGCTGCAACCTCCACCTCTTGTGTTCAAGCAATTCTCCTGCCTCAGCCACCCCTCGAGCAGCTGGGATTATAGGCGCATGCCACCAGGACTGGCTAATTTTTGTATTTTTAGTAGAGACGGGGTTTCACCATGTTAACCAGGCTGGTCTCAAACTCCTGACCTCAAGTGATCCATCCACCTCAGCCTCCCAAAGTGCTGGGATTACAGGCGTGAGCCACAACGCCCGGCCAAAAGCTGATAGTGTTTTTAAGAACATCAAATTATACAGGGATGCAAACCCCACAAAAAGAGATTAAGTATTAGGTAGATATGTTTCTTGACAAGATTAACTCGAGCACCAGTCACTTCCTCTTCTTCTCTCTGCAGGTTTGAACTGCTCATTGCTAGCTGAGCCCTAACCTCTGCCAGATATAGTTTCTGGGGGAATGCTCGAGACCATGATTATCCAGCAAGAGCTGGTACCGTCCCTGGGTATGGAACAGGAGAGCAGTCGCTTAAACACAGGATAGAACGACTTACGAAGGTAATTAAAGTTCATGCACTACTTTTTGCATGAGAGTCTATAAATGTTTCCACAAAACGCTTTTTCATTAAGACTTGGCATGCCACATTAAATTTTTTTCAAGTTGCTTATTCAATATTTTTTGCAAGACTGTGCCAACTGACAGGCGGGATCCAGGGTACCATTTCTAATACGTTGCATCTGAAAGATAATTTTAATATGCATACGACCTATCCAGCAAGTTTTGGACAGTGTTTACATCCACATTTTCTTAATTATGTCTCAGATGACTGAATTACTTGGGAATAAGGTTAGATACTCAGCCTACGGCCAAGGAGCCAAGTGATGCTCATCAGCTGATATATCAAATCCAGAGGGCTCAAGGGTTTCAGGATATGAAACAGTCATTACCATCCATGACACAACCTCCCCCCACCGCAAGAAATTAGCAAGGGTTTACATATGTGGGTACACACTAAAATGCCTATAGCCACTAGGCAGGTATTATCAAGAGAAGGTGGGTATAAAAAACAAAAGGGAGAGGTAAGAAATGTGGAAAAAGACAAAAACGTCCCAAGCAAGAAATAAAATGGCCTTGTTGCCCATGGAAAAAAAAGAAAAAAAGAAAAAAGCCTTCGTCCTATCTGAGGGGGGCAGCCTCTATGCCGCCAATCAGTTATTCTTGGGGTATCATGGGTCTGAGGCAGACATTCCCAGTTTTCTAGAGAATCTAGAAATGCCAAATTTTATGTGAAACTGCCCCATGTATAAAAAATACATATTTTAAAACGTTTTTAGTCTACAGAAAAGCTGGAGGGGTACTATGAACACTGATAAGGACTAAATGCTGTGCCCTCCCAAAACTCGTGTACCTTAAAACCCCACTCACTAAAGTGATGGCATTAGAAGGTAATTAGGAAGGGATGAGGTCATGAAGATGAAGCCCTCATAAATGCGACTGATGTCCTTATAAGGGTACTGAGAGCGCACTTTCTCCTCTCAGCTACACAAGGACACAGCATAAAGGTGCCATCTACAAAACAGGAAGACAGACCTCACCAGACACCAAATATGCTGGCACCCTGATCTTGGACTTCCCAGCCTTTGGAACTGTAAGAAACAAGTGTTTGTTGTTTAAGCCACCCCATTGATGGTATCATTACAGCAACCTGAGCTAAGAAAAAAACACCTAGATCGGTCAGCTTATTAACATTTTGCTGTATTGCATGCTCACATTTGAGCTCTACTTATGTATATCCACATACACATTTTCACAACCATTTGAAAGAAAGTTGATCTCATGAGCTTTACCCCTAAAACTTCAGCACAT